CCCGGGGCACCGCCGCCGTGCGCGACGGGATCCGCATAGGCGTCCGCACAGGAGTCCTCATAGGAGTCCAGTCCGCATTGGGAATCTCATGGGAATTTGCATAGGGATGCGCATGCGCATCCGCATATGTATCCTCATAGGGATCCGCGTGAGGATCCGCATAGGGATTCGCATAGAGATTCGCATGACGATGCGCATGGGCATCCGCATAGGCATCCGCATCGGGATCCGCATGAGCATCCGCATAGGGATCCGCACATGAATTCGCATATGGATCCGAACTTGTGACTGTGTGTTCCCGGTGAAGGCTCTTCCTCCTCCTGCTCCTCCTCCGCTTACTCCTCCTCCTCCCCATGTCGCGTCCTCCCCTCCCCCTCCGCATCTTCCTCCTCCTCCGTATCGCCCTCCTACTCCAGGCGCTGTGGTGCACGCAGGGCAGGAACAAATAATAGCCACAATCGAGTCACATATTGAATTTGTTTGTTGCATTTGATCCCGTCGGGACACCACAGGGTCCTAGAGGAGCACACAGGATTTGTGGTGCGCACAGGCAGTGTGGTACAGACAGATGGTGCTAAACTGGTCGTGGCTCGTGGCCCCTGGTCGTGGCTCGTGCCCACAGACACGGTGGTGCACACGGACGCGCTAACATTTTACCCCCCTACCACTTCTCCCCATTCCTATTCATTCCGACTTGGCCCCTACTACTCGTGCCAGCATCATGTGAAACGTCCGAACCTCGCAACAAGGCCAATATGCGCGCGGGCGCTATGGTGGCGCCAGGACAGCACGGCGTCGCTGTCGTCGTCGTCGTCGTCGTCGTCGTCGTCGCCGTCGCTCGTCGTCGCTCGTCGTCGCTCGTCGTCGTCGTTGTCGCTCGTCGCTCGTCGCTCATCGTCGTCGTGCGCGCGGACGCTGCTTTGGCGCCGGAACCACACGGCGGGAGGGGGGTCGTTACATTGTCCCCCCCCCCACCCTCCCCATAACGCCCGCCATCGCCGCGAAGAAAGATTCGCGCCGCAAGATATTGCAATACCATATCCCGATGCCGATCCCAAGGCTTCCCCCCGCCGACGCATCCCCAAAATCGTCATCGCCTTTCGGCTTGTCGCTCTGAGGGATACGGGGTAAGCCCGAGGCTGGTGAGCCCCGCCGAGAGTCCTGCCAGGTTCGTCCCAGCGCGCCCCAGTCGTGCCCTGGGGGCCGGCCTCTCCCCCACATCCAAAGTAGGGTTCTCGCTTTCTCGGCACACCCCCCGCGCAGCCCTCACACACCTCACCTCACGCCCCCTCTCTTCCGCACCATGTTGGCACACTCGCCATCGCCATCATTGTCATCATGATCATCTGGCATCATCACCGCCATCATCACACTATGTTTTCGCACTCACCATCACAACACCATCATCACCCCTCGCCATTAACATCATCATTATCACATTATCCACATCATGATCAGCATCATCATCACTATATCCATCATGTTTATCTTCATCTTCTTCGTCTTCTTCATCATCACTCACATACATTCGTCTTAGGAAGTCTCAGACGGGAGCCTCGTCTGTGAGTGAACTGCGAGGAGGTCTCAGGTGCGAGCCCCTTCCCTGTGGGGCCCACAGGTCATGTTGCCAATGCAGGCCGTCGGAACCCTGCAGCCGCCGCCACTTTTCAGCCCCTCCGTCCCGAACATGGCGGGATGGCGAGGCATCCTCGGAGCTTCTCCTGCGGGGTCCTGCCGCAGGAGTGCTTCGCCCGAGAGCCCTGGCCCGACGGCCGCCCGGGGCCCGTGGAGGCTGCCCCGGCGGCCGAACGTGTCCCCGATCCGGCCGCTCCCTCCTCCTCCTCCTCCTCCTCCTCCTCCTCCTCCTCCTCCTCGTCCTCCTCGTCCTCCTCGTCTTCCTCCTCCTCCTCCGCCTCCTCCTCCTCCTCCTCTTCCTCCTCCTCCTCATCCTCCTCCTCCTGACCTTCGGGGGCGGCAAACCGGGGGGTGATGACGACGGGGGGGTGGATATCATGCCGCGGGCCATGAGATGCCCCCAGATCTCCTGGCGCCTCTTCTTTCATTTCATCGCGTCCCCGCCCCCCCCCCCCCCTGGGCCGCGCACGTGCCGCCAGCCATGCTTTCCCCCCCCCTCTTGGACGCCCCCCTCCTGGCCGCCCCCGAGATCTGTGGGCACCTGGAAACATCGGCGGCGCGCGAGGGGGGTGAGCGAGAAGGGGGAGGCCTTCTCAGAGGGCGGCGGGACTTCTCGGAGGGCCTCCGGCCTTCCGCGGGAGGCTCCCCGTGTCTTCCGGGAAGGACTCCGAGCACTGTTGAAAAGGCCGGGAGGCTTCCGAGCCCTCGGAGAGTCGGCTAGACGTAAGAGTGACCTTTCGCCGGAGTGACCAGATGGGGACGTAGACTGGCTCGGGGATAGGTTTTTACGTCGGGTGCCACTTGTTAGCCCTCCTGGCAGGTCGGGGAGGTCCGGGCAGGTTCCTGCACGGCCGAGCCGTCCCTCCTGCTGGCTCCAGGCGGCCTCCCCGGGCCGCGCCCCTCGGCGAGCCCCGCGCGCGCCCGCGGGGGGGAGGGCCCTCGGCGATGCCGGCATGGCTGAAAACGGAGCAGCAGCAGCTGCTTGCGCGCCCAGGCTTGGTCCCCCCGCGGCCCCCCAAAAGTCGCGCACCAAACGTCACTTGTACCCAGGGTCACTCTTGCGTATACGGTAGGTTTGCGTCGTGTCGACCAGCGGCGACCCCAGCGCGGACGTTCAAGGTTGAACGCCGCCGGCGACCCAGAATCGATCGATGTTGAACGATCGGACGTTGCGGCAGCGGCCGATCGTTCAAGGTTGAACGATCCCTGCGGTGTCAAAAACCAACGCTGGGGTCGGCACGACACGAACCTGCCGTAGCCGAGAGAGGGCCTGCCCCTTCTCTCGCTTCCCTGGGCGCCGCCGCCGAAGGAGAGGCGCGGGAGCCCCGCGGGGCGGCCCGCCAGGCACGCCTCGTGGCGCCGAGATCGCAGAGCGGACGTCGCTCGGAGAACACTCGGGGGAGCGTAAGACCCGGGTTTGCCAGGACTCGGGTTCGCCGTTTTTTGACGACCGCGCCTCGGATTTTGACGAGGAGGAGTTTCGTGGGATGTCTGCAGCGGGAGGCCTCGTCAAAATGCAGGCTCGGCCTCGTCATTTTTTTGACGACCTCGTCGGGGATTTCCGAGTCCCCTGTACCCAGGTCTTACGTCCCCCTGAAACAATGGGATGGGCCCAGGTTGTCCTGGAGAATTTTTGTTCCGGCGTTCGAGGTGTGTGTTCTCGCGGTTTTTGTTGGGGGCCGCAGGGGAATACTGCCACGGATGCACGTGGAGTGCATTGCGTTTCCCGCCCGCCTCTGTGTTTTTTTTTGCATCCACACGCGCAAGTCCGCTGCAGCACGTCTGCAAGGTCGGTGCAGTGACACGTCCAAGCGCGCCCCAGTCGTGCCACGGGGCGCGGCGTCGGATTCCGCCGGCGATGCCCCGGCCCGCGCACCTCCCGTGGGTGCTGGCGGCCTGCTCGGCGGTTGCGGGCGGGCTCCAGCAGGCCCGTGTCGGGCTCGAGACGAAGACGACGACGACGACGACGACGACGACGACGACGACGACGACGACGACGACGACGACGACGACGACGACGACGACGACGACGCTTGGCTAACTTCAGACGGTGCTGGCGCTAGTCGTGACGTGTCCAGAGTGGGGGGGGGAGGGGCGTGGCCTGTCACGGTCGTTCTCGCGAGTTAGAAAATTCTTCGCCATGAGTCAAACGCGGTTCCTGAAGGTTTTCCCCATTTTCGGGCGGTCTGGTCCCTCCCTGGGCTCCGGGGCTGCCAGCAAAGCGATTCAGGACGAAGCGCTGGTCTTGTGGGAGGGCCCCAGGGCCTCAGGGTCTGTGTCCCTCACCTGCCGTTTGCTCAATGCCACAAAACAGGTGCCCGTGGCCCAGCGTGCTCCCAGGGTTGCCAAGGCTGCCCCCGACGGCCTCCAGGGCACCCCTCACGAGACCCAGAGGTGGAGGAGGAGGGGGAGGAGGAGGAGGAGGAGGAGGAGGAGGAGGAGGAGGAGGAGGAGGAGGACTTGGCCCAGGGCGGTCCAGGCCAGGGGCACAGTTGGCACTCCCTGGCCCGGGGGCGGCGCACAGCACCTGCCTCTGCGGCCTCGCGGCCTCGCCCGCGACTTCCGCGGGCGCGGGGCAGCTCTGCACGGGCCGCCCTGCGCGGAAGTCGTCCGTGGGGCATGCGTGGGGCCGCGCCCCCGTGGCCAGGCCGCGAGGGCACGGATCGGCGGCGAGACCCGGGGGGGACCCGGGGGGGGGGGGGGAGTGCGAGGTGGTATGGGCCTCTTCGGAGGGCGGCGGGGCTCCTCCGGCCGCCCTCGCGCCTTTCCGAGAGGCCCCCCGTGCCCTCGGATGCCCTCCGAGCCCTCTGCGGGGCCCCGCCCCCCTCGCGGCCTTCCCCCCCCCCCCCCCGGGGCTCGCTGCCCAGCGGGCGGCGGCGTGCCCGTCGCCCTCTCTTCTTGCTGCGCCGCGTTCGGCCCCCATGGCGCCGCTGGGTCGATCCGGCCGCGTCTCGGGCACGGGCCGCCGCCGACTGCGGGGGCCCATGCCAGGGAGCGCCCTGCTTGCCTCCAGGGTGCCCTGGGTTTCTTGGGCTCCGATGCCTTCGCCACGGAAAGCGTGACGCTCCCGCACCGAACATCCGTGGACGGTCCTGGGGCCGTCTCAGGGTGGGGCTTCTTGTGGAAGGTTTCTCGTGGACTGGCCTCCACCTGCAACCCAGCACCCACCAAACCACCCCAACCCAGCCCGAAGGCCTCAATTTGCCCTCCATCTCCAGTGGTGGGGGGGGGGGTCGGGGAACGTGGAACAGAACATACACACACATGGAACCCGTGCCCCCCCCCCCCCCCGAGATTCGGGTCCTCGGGTTGGGTTGGGGTGGTCCGGTAGGCAGTCAGTAAGGAGAGCTTATCGCCCGCGACAGGCGCTGGAGGCCCAGGACCTGAGCCCGAGGAAGGGGGCGCGCCACGGCCGGCACGGCGGCGCCGGCGAGGCGGCGGGCCACGCCCTGGGGGCCCTGCAGGTCGAGACGAATAGCTGATGGGCCAATGGTTCCACCACCACGACCATGGGCAGGACGGGGGAGAAGGGAGAGTGGGGAGGTCCTCCTCCTCCTCCTCCTCCGCCTCCTCCTCCTTCCTCTCCTACATATGGTAGTGGTGGTGGAGAATCGGCCCATCAAACAGCAGCGCCGGATCAAACGGCAGCGCCGGCCACGAGGACTCCAGCAAGCCCCAGCATGGAGGAAGAGAATACCGCGTACGTCAGCCACGCGCAGAGGGGGGCAGTCGGGGGCAACAATAGGGGGGGATGGGCATAGGGGGGCACGCATCGACCCCCCATCGCCCATTGATCGCCGATGGAGGCCCGATAGCCCCACCCGGCCCAGGAAGGTGCGAATTCACAATCGGGGACCTATCGCCCATCTATCGACAATGCATCGCCCATTACAGATTGATGTATCCCCCCTATGCCCATCCCCCCCTATCGTTGCCCCTCAGGCAGGAGGAGGGGGGGAGGCTTCTTAGAAGCACCCCTGCCTCTTAGAAGGCGCGGGCCTTGTCTATAGGTGTACGGTGTAAGGCCGGCGCCTTCTAAGGAGCAGCCTCTTTTTAAGAAGCCTTCCCCCCACCCGTACCCCCCTGTGCGCGCCACCAAGTACGGCAGGCTCGCTGCCGGTGTTCAACGCTGAGCGCCGCCGGCGACCCAGAAGCGGTCGATGTTGGACGATCTGACGTCTCGGAAACGGCCGACCGTGAAGTTCAAGGTTGAACAACCCCCCCGATGCCGGGAACCAGCGCTGAAGTCAGCACGACACGAACCAGCCGTGAATGTAAATCGTCGGAGCTCCGCGAGGTTTTCTCTTGGACCGGACGCCGGGACCCTCGGCGGCGCCTCCGGCGTCGCCCCTGGCGCGCTCCAGCGTCGCCAGAGAGGAGGTGCCCAGCGCCGACCTACGAAATTTCCGCGGGGCTCCGACGATTTTGCGTTTACGTCAGAGTGAGGGGGCCGAACGTCAGAGGAGGAAAAGGTACCCATACCTCTACTCTTCCCTCGTTTTCCCCGTTTTGTGCCTCCTGGGCGGCCCTCGTCGCCACCACTGGATTCGCCTCAAAATCCTGGTCAGAACGCACCCCAGGAGAGGTCCGGGGAGTAGCGGTATCGGTACCTTCTGGTCTCCCCAGAACGGTCGTTCACTGTCCTTGGGCGCGTGGCTGAAGTGAGGTTTTGCTGTGGTGCGGATTATTCTTGTTTGTTGTTTGCTGTCGTCGTCTCGGCGACCTGGCCCGCGACCCGCCCGCGACCCACCCGCGACCCACCCGCGACACGCTCGCGACCCATCCGCGACCCGCCCGCGACCCATCCCGCAACCCGCCTGCGACCCACCCGCGACCCACCCGCGAGACATCCGCGACCCAGCCGCGACCCACCAACGACCCGCCCGCGACCCGGCACGAGATCCACCTGTGACCCACCCGCGACCCACCCGCGACCCACCCCGCGACCCACCCACAGTGCTTAATCGGCGCCTGCGGCGGGCTCGTTTTGTAGTTTGTAAAAACTAGGCGCCTGCGGCGAGCTTCTTCGGGGCCTTGCATGCTGCCGACCCGACGTCCCCGCCGCCCCCGCACTCTTATCCGCAACTGCGGGGCAAGTCCCTCTACAGGAGGAATATTCAAAAACAGTCCACAAATAGTATGGGGACGATTGTCTGCGTGTTTTGATGCATGTCTGAAGTATTTTTGACTACTTTTTCATTCTTCGTCCAAAATCCCCCCGTAGGGGGACAGGCCCGACCCAGTGCTACGTATGCAGTTTCCTCTTCTTCTGAAGCAGCAGAAAGCCGACAAGCACGCCGCGGACTACAACTACCAGGTCTCCGACTTCCAGATGGCCGGGTCCCAGGCCGGGTACCTCAATTTCATCAAGAAGTACCCCGCCACCCGCTCGCCGGGCCCCGCCGGGTTCCCGTACAAGTTCGACTGGATAGTCCACAGGAAGAGGGAGCTTGCGAACCTCAGCAAGGGCGAGGACCCATACGCTGTCTTCTCGTCGATGGAGATTCAGTTGGCCTGCGCCACATCCGCCAGTTCGATCGACCGCAGAATACATCGTTCATCGTGTGTAGTTTTGTATGGCCGAGTGTTCTCAGGGGCCTCTTGGGGGCTTCCTTGGAGAAGGGGGAAGAGAAGGAGGGGAGATTGAGGCCGAGGAGGAGGAGGAGGACAAGGAGGAGGAGGAGGAGGAGGAGGAGGAGGAGGAGGAGGAGGAGGAGTAAGAGGCGGATGTGCAGAAGGATGAGGGCGACGGGACGAGGATGCAGCAGCATGATGGCGATGAAGCGGACGGGAGAGGGGACTCCTGTGGTCACTCACTTTGCGGGTGTCATCTTGCCGCTCCTTCTTCCCCATCCCTTTTCAGTGCTCCTCGACCCTTTGATCGTAGTAGTTTCTTTCCTCTGCTTCAGCGTTTATCATGCCTGTTCCATTGCTTCTCCTTCACGTGCATGGGGTGCCTGTGACACCTGAGGTGTGTACGTTTCTTGCGTATGGGGAAGATGCGATGCTTGACCTAGTGGGGGTGTCTGGGGTGTCTGTGGTGCCATCACTACTTCCTGGGACACCGTATTGAGTGATGAAGGAGGATCCGTTGCCAGACGGAGATGCGCCCAATGATGTGGGCAACTCATCTTCTCCAACTCCTCCTCCTCCTCCTCCTCCTCCTTCTCCTCCTCATCCTCCTCCTCTTCCTCGTTCACCTCTCCTGCTTTTCCTCTTCATCCTCCTCCTCCTCCTCCTCCTCCTCCTCCTCCTCCTCGCCCCCCTTACCCCCCTCATGAGATGCTGCTCAAATCCATAGTAAGGGCGAGTACTCCCCTCGAGGGTACCCTTGCGTCCTCGTTCCTGGGAGTCCTCCTTCGCTGTTTTCGGCGGTTGACGTCTCAGGATGTTCTCGGGGATGCGACATGCAAGGGGTTTGCGTCCGTACCTTCTGTCCTGACTACAGACGTCGACTGTACATCAGTGTGCTATTGCATGTAGAATTTGGTTCAAGTGGGGCAGCTGCTTTGACCGCTCAGGCATCGCGGCTTTGATCTGAAGCGTTCGTTACCTCCCCGAGCGGATGGAAGAACATTGAACACAGTTTTCGGCGAGGTGGCAACAGATATGTCATTCAATTGTGTAGAGGTAAGTTGGTAGCTCTGCCGCGCACGGGCAGAAATCGCAGCAGGCCTCCCAATAGAAAAAGCAAACCTGTTCCGTCAGTGCGTGCTTCTTTCACTTCCAAAGGCGTTGTGTGCATCCATCGGTTCTGGATGGGGTCGAAGAAAATTGACGAGTTGCGTGCGGTGGCCGCGGCCTCCAAGCTTGGATTTCAGCAGATTGTGTGGACGCTGACTGGCAAGTGTGGTATTCAAGGGTTTCCAGGGCTCAGAGTGCAAAAACTATCTGGGATGAGGAACGCAATGCAGGTCAATTCTCCTGGGCCCCCCCCCCTCCTTTCCCACCCGCCCCTTCGATTGTATCGAGGACAATGGGGGGAGGAGGAAGGCCAAGAGGAGTGGATTCGTGTTGTTTTCCTCGTCCCATTACCAGTGTCATTTGTGAAAAATGCTCGCCGGTGGGCGAGGGCTGGGCTGCCCTATCAGGCCATCAAAGACGCAGCTCAGATGCAGATCATGCTTGTGAAAAGGCGGGTGGTTTCATGATTTCGACGTAGTGCCTCTGCAGCCGCCAGGAGCTGCGTGGAAGGCCGTCGCGACTGGCCTCGATGCGGTAGTCGCTAGCCACCTGTGCCGAGCCCGAGGGTTGCCCCTGAGTGGTAGCGTCGAACACTGGACAGACAGCAAAGCAAGCCGTGCTAACAACGTGAGGGCTCGTGGGGTTTGAGTGTCACGTGGAGCCCGCCCGTTGCTGGTCGATGCAAACGCACAGCGTTGGTGCTGACTGCCGCTCGCGATGCTCTGTTTGCGTATATGAATGCGTTCGCAGAGGCTTTCCGAGATCGTCCGATAGGCGTGGCCGCTGAGTTTTTGCCAGCTCTAGGAACCGGACCGCGCGCGCGGCCAATTACGTGGAAGGAGTGGATGCGGGGCACCGATGCAGTGATTGAGGCGGCGAACTCCATCGCTGCCAAGAACGGTGTCTTTGCTCCTTTCACGTTCAACCCGCACCCTCTGTGGCTGCGAACTGAACCTCATGAGACTGACACGAGGCACGTGTACAACGTTCCCCCCGCGTCGTACAACTTGGCGGCGCAACGCGCGTTGACATTGAATTTGTGGGGGCGCCAGTGGCCCCAGGAGCTACAGACGATCATGCTGACTAGGTTTCAGGGCGAAAAAAAACATCTCGTCGCCTTCACGCGCGCTCTTCCATGAGATCCGTGCCATGTTTCTAATGTGCAAGCCGCGTGCACATCGCACGCAACTCTTGCCATATCGCGCGCATCTCAGAGAGCACTACTACACCGGCAACATCCACGCCGCGCGCGTGCCATTAACATAAACATGTCTTGCACATCGCGTTTGCCACGAAAACAAATAGCATACACGACTTCGCCGGCCATGGGTTCTTGAGGCCGATCGGGCTCAATGAGCCTTCCAAGCCCATGGGCCCGATGAGGCTTCTAGGCGCAAGGCGTTCAATCGAACTCCTGGGCCCCATGGGCCTTGAGAGTCTGCAGAGTGCCTGGCCGCTGCTTCCGATCCCAGTTCGTCCCGCGAAGCTCCTGGTAGACGAAGTAGGTTAGGACGTCGTCGAGCAGTTTACTTGGGCATGGGCTTCCTAGTCCCCGTCGTCTAAGCAATTCCTCCTCCTCCCTCCTCCTCCCCCATCCTCCCTCCTCCTCCTCCTCCTCTTCCTCCCCCTCCTCCTCCTCCTCCTCCTCCTCCTCTTCCTCCTCCTCCTCCTCCTCCTCCTCCTCCTCCTCCTCCTCCTCTGCCTCCTCCGATCCCAGCTCGTTCTACAGAGCCCTTGGCAGACGTACTACAAAGGAACGTCGTAGACCAGCTTACTTGGGCATGGGCTTTCGAATCCTCATCGCCCCCGCCTCCTTTTTTGTCCTCCTCCTCTTCCTCCTCCCACCCCCCTCTGTTTTCTCCGCCTCATCCGCCTCCTTATTTTCCATTTCCTCCTCATCATTATCCCCGCCTCTTCTTTCTCATGCAATGTCTTCCTCTTCTTACCTCCTTCTCCTCGTCTTCCTTCCTCAGGCCCACGGTGGCTGACTGCCCTGCTGCTTCTTTCGGTCGAGGTTCCCTCCACAGAGCCCCTGGCAGGCGTGCTAAACAGGAATGTCGTGGAACAGCTTACTTGGGCATGGTTTTTCGAGTCCCCATCGTTTTGCCATTTCCCCCTCCTCCTCCAGCTCCTGTTTCTCCTCCTCCTTTTCCTCCTCCTCTTCCTGCCTTCTCGTCTTCCCTCTTCCCTCCTCTTTTCCATCCTTTTCCTCCTCCTTCCTCCTCCCGCACCCCCATCATCTGGCTTCTTTCTTTGACGTCCTTCCTTCTCTTACCTCCTTCTCCTCGTTTTCCTTCCCCGGGCCCACGGTGGTTCACTTCCTTTCTGCTTATGCCGACCTTGGCTCGTCTTACAGAGCCTTTGGCAGACCAGACCACCTGACCACTTTACCACCGTACCACCGTACCACGTTACCACCTTACCACCTTACCACCTTACTACCTTACCACCTTACCACCTTACCACTTGACCACCTGACCACCTTACCACCTGACCACCTGACCACCTGACCACCTGATCACCTTACCACCTTACCACCTTACCACCTTACCACCTTACCACCTTACCACCGTACCACCTTACCACCTTACCACCTTACCACCTGACCACCTGACCACCTGACCACCTGACCACCTTACCACCTGTCTCGTTCCACGCCAGGTGAGTGACCACAGAGGTCCCTTCTGGCGGACGGAGGGCACAGGCAGGGAGAGTGGAGGGGGAAGGGGGTCAGAAGCAAAGGTTTGCGACTACGGTTAGGATGCTCCAACATACTTTAGCTTTCATAACCAAAGCAAATTTCGAGCACCAAAAAAGTACCGAAACTGATGGATTTTCACGTGTCGGGCCGTGCGAGGCGATACTCGTTCGACACTGTTTCGATACTTCTCTGGGTGCTCAGATTCATTTGGGATGTGGTCCTAAGTAGGATGGGAGCAACCGAACCTTATCTCTGCGGGTCCAGTCGACGCTGGGGTACCAGACCCCTCTGCTGGGGCCCATTTGGCTGCAGGCGCCCTTCGAGGTCTGAGTCCCAGTTGATGTTTTTTTAGGAACGTCACCTGCACGGACAGGGTTCACATGAGCGATGGAAGAAGGAAAACAGTGAACGCCAGGTCGATTACGCCGACATTCGCGCGTAAGCTTGCCTCGTAAGATCGCGGGTAGGTGCCCTCGTTTCCAGTGTGGTTTGTCGCGCTGGCAGCCCGCATAAGCTACCGCGTAACGCCGCTATGTCTCCTTGCGTAAAGCGTGTTTTCGTCGCGCACATTTGGTTGCCTGCAAGGGGCAGAAGGGGACGTCTGGGGAGGATCAGCCACACGCAGAGAGGGGGTATGGGGGAAAGGTGAAGGCTTCTTAGAAGCACCCCTGATTTTAGAAGGCGCAGGCCTTGTCTATAGATGTAAGGCCAGCGCCTTCTTTGAAGCAGCCTCCCAAGAAGCCTTCCCCCCTCCCCCTTCCGCCGTCGGAGCGCCGCCAAGAGGAGGGGGGGGGCGGAGGAGCACGAGGGGGGGTTGGAGGAACAGCAAGCGCCACGAGGGCAGCATGGGCGGTTTGCAGAAGCGGAAGGTGCCCCTGCCTGCCTGCACGTGGAGCCCGCTATAGATGCCGGCGCATTGCGAACCAGGGCATCGCCAAGCCCAGCGAGAGGAGCTTGAGAATGAAGAATGCTTCGACCTCTCGGGCGGGCGGTCATGGGGGGGTGGACCTACATGGGGGGCGAAGACCATGGCCCTGAAGGGGCCATGTAGGGGCCCCATGCGGGCTCGAAAATGGGCCCCGAAGGGCCCCCTGAAGGCCCTTCTCGTCACACCCCCCGTTTAGGTCAACCCC